AGTCTAACTGCTATTGTTATTGCTATTCTGAACTTCCGCGCAGGCACATGGCACATACAGCGCCTGCGCGATTCTCTGCGAGCAGCTGGACCGAACCGGTTGGAACAGGATAAGCAACCCACCACTAGACCTTGCCATGCCACAGAAGGCTGGGGAAGATCACCAGTTACTTTAACTGGCTGTTAAGACTATATTTCCCAAAACTTTGAAGAATCACCCATAGTATCTATTGAGCTTCAACCAGACTTGATGATACAATTTGAAGAGCAAAGTTCAGCACAGTTTATTTTCCGATCAGGAAGTGCTAGCTGCTATAAACAAAAACTGGATCAGCCGGTGGCTATTTTCAGTACAACATTCCACACTCTAAGAGGAAAGATCTGTCACTTCTCAAATCAGAAATAAGCCATTTTGCATCATGACTCCACCAATTACATTAGACGCTAAATCATGTTCCAGCCAAGTTTTAAAATAGATAATAATTTCTAACCACTGTTTCAAAAGTCAGGCAGTGTTTGTTTTATTCAAAACTTGATATATTTCATGTACTGGAACTGTAATCCTATTCCAATACATTGGATAGAGTTACATTTCCCGTAGTTCTTGATTCTGCATGTAAAAAGGTTGAGCCAATGCAAAGTTTCCATCTTTAATAATCCCCACATTAAATTCTCGTGTTTCACTTGAACTTATGTGATTAGCAAGAGCAGAGAAGAATCGAGTTTTAAGTTCCAACTCATTTCTCAAATATTGTGTAGTGAAGAAGTAAATAAAAATACTTTCCCAGACATTTCAATCCAATTAAATTGTTCTAAAGCTTTCTAAAGAAATGTATTTTAGTATGAGACATTGAAGTATCAGGCTGTCGGTGTAGGCTTCTCCAGAGATAAAGGAATGATCAACTCTGTTTAAGCCGACTCAGCATCGGCCCTATTCATTGAAAGAGGAAAAGTTAATTATGAATTAAGACCTCATTTGTTTTTGCTTATAGCAAATTATGTGCAATTGTTTACATCCAATATACTGAATCTACTTTCTCTACCAAGAGAAAGAAAGTTTGTTCTCCCTAGCCAAGTCTAGCTTTCTGTGTAGTTCGTGCAGATATTATTTCTGTAATTTCATACTAACTTGAGTCTAAGGCAACGGTCTCCTTATCCATGTTTTTAAGGGTTTTTTTTCCCCCTTGAGCTATCTATACAAAAATCAGAGCCTCATGAAAGTAGCAATAGCAATAGCAGTTAGACTTATATACCGCTTCATAGGGCTTTCAGCCCTCTCTAAGCGGTTTACAGAGTCAGCATATCGCCCCCCAC